GCCCGCGACCTGGAACGAGGCTGGGCTGGCTCCGTTTATCGACCGGCTCCTCAGCCGGTGGATGGAGGTGAAGGAGTCGCAAGAAAACGCCAAATCCTCAATTGTCGAACTGAAGGAAAGGATGATTATGGAGGCGCTGCTGATATTTGGCAAAAAGGACCCAAAGGGCTTCATGACGGCTTTGAACGGCTACCTGGTGAAGAAAGACTTCCGAGACAACTCGCTTCGGCTTCTCTGCGATTTTGTTGCCAGCCAGCCGCCACATCTGCATGTCATTCTCCAGACGCAACTCTTCCCCAGCATCTTGCATTCGCTGCAAAAGGATGAATCAACGTCGACGGTGAACACAGCTTTACTTGCTATCATCATGATCTTGCCTTTTATGCCGAGCTCACTCGTGCCTTATCTGTCGACACTCTTCAACATATACGCTCGGCTTCTGTTCTGGGACAGAGATTCTCTCTTCGCCCAGGAGCATACTGAGTTTGGGATTGAAAGTGAGGGTGCCGGTGGTGGTGTCACTTGGGAAAAGACACTGTTGGATCCTGACTATGATGGGCACTCGGTCCACTACCTACCTGGATACTTCACAATCCTATACGGTCTGTATCCCATCAATTTTGTGGACTACATCCGGAAGCCTCAGAGATATTTGCGTCATGCGAGCAGTGCTGAAGACATTGATGTGCAAGCCACGGAGATCCGGGCCAGGTCAGAGCGATTCCGGGAGAAACACCGACTCCATCCCAATTTCTACAACTTGACGATTGAATCCGAGAAGACTGATCTCAGCCGCTGGATCAAGAGCGAAGGAGATGAGGTTCTTGCCGACTGCCTGGCTCTATGTATCCCCGACCAGGATGAACCACGAGAGGCCCAAGAACTATCAGAACTTCCGGGGGTGCTGGGCGGTTCATTCCCTCTCGAAGATGCCGACAAGGACGAATTAGATTGTCCCCTGTTGAGCAGCTCTGCCTTCGTCGAAACTCCACTACGGAGAGACGCTTCGTCGATCAGCCTGGTCCAGCACATGGACCCTACCAAACTATATACTGGAGGCCGAGAGAGCATTAGGTCGGGCCACTCACAGTCCAGCCAACCATCTGGTCACGATCCTCTCGAGAATAAGTCCCAGAACCTTGGTGGCGACAGCCCGACCTTACCCCCTCACCTTATTTCGAGTTCGTCGCACACCCAGCTCCAAGACATGATGCACTCTGGCAAACTGATGAAGTCCGGCCTCAATCAATCGCTGGCAAACGACAGTGTTCCTTCGCTCAATTTAGGTCCCCAAGTGTCAACGACAGAATCCAGTTTGCTCCAGCGGCCACGCATACAAACCCCACGGGACTCGGGCGAGAGTGAGATGGATTTGAGTGACCAAGCATCGATGCTCTATCACCAGAGCCTACTTTTGCTCAATGACTTGCAGTTCGAAAGGTACATCAAGCAGCAGCACATCACACACATGGGAGCTTTGCGACGCAAACAGATCAGGGAGGCCGCCACGGAAGCTGAGACGCAAAACCTTGTGATGGCGAACCGTAGTCTCAAACAGCGGCTGGACGAAGCGAAGAGACAGGAAGGGCAAATCAAAAAGGAGTTCGACCATCGCCGAAATATGGCGCAGAAGAGGGAAAACGACATTTCCGCCAAGCTGCGGGCCCTTCGTGAGGAGCAGAAGAAGTGGAATACGGAAGGGACTGCACTTAAACTCGAACTTGAGAAAGCACTGACCGAATGTGAAAGGTTGCGTAAGATCATCGGACAAGCAGAAGAAAAGCGGCTCAAGTCAGAGCAAGACCTGGAGGCTGTTGACATGAATACGGACGAGATTGAACGACTCAAGGCGGAGATCGCACGCCTCTCCGCAGTGGAACACGAATATCAGGGCAAAGAACTGAAGATGGAAAGGGCCCTGGTGGCAGCGGAGGCAGCAGAGAGCAGAGCGGAACAGTGGAGAGCAGATCTTGCGGCACGAGAAGCCCAGTTGCACCAAATGAGAAAACAATACGAAAACAAAGTCACCGATCTCAGCAACAAGCTGACAGAGGCGCTGCGAGATAACCAGCGTGGACGCGCCAGCGAGATCACGACGATGTACGAGAATGCGCTGGCTGCGAGCCGAGCGAAGCAAACAGAGCTGCAGAAACAGTACAGCGCGCTCATGAGGAGGTACACGGTCCTGAACTCGTCGCTACTGGATCTCCAGTGCGATATGGGCGACAGGAGAATAAACGAAGTTGGCTCGCCCTCGTACGAAGCGGCAGGGGATGCCGAGATGTTGCCCATGTCAGGAAACCCCATCGCGATCCGGAACCGTGGCCACCGCGGTTTCTCGGACCCGGAGGCGTTCGAGGGGATATCGCACAATGCAACCTCGCCGCTAGAGCCGGTCTCTGGCTCACTTGGCTCGCATAGGCCCTCGACACCACCCGAGGGTGCGGACAAAACTGGCACCAGCACTAGTCCGCAGATGGAGAGGTACTTCGGTCGAGGCGAGTTTCTTCAAATATCACCGGTCTGGAGGTCGCTGACGAGTCACAGGAGGAGTGCAAAACGCAGTCCGGAAAGATAAAAGGGATGACAAGTCGGACAAAAAGGACAAAAAGGAGAAGAAGTCAGGGGCTGGTTTGCGGGGGATCCGGTTCTGATTGAGGTACGAACCCGTACCTTGCGTTGCAAAGAGTGTTTGAGCACTTCCGTTGCAGTTGATTGTCGCTTGAATCAACGAGCATGGTTTCCTAACTATGTGTCTGATTCCGGCTCAGGTAGACAATCGATGAGTTGTAATGTAACCCTCGAGAGATCCTCGGTTGCCGTGGGGGCGATGTAAACAGATGGGAGGATCCAAAGCCCACCCCGCGCCAAGGAATTCAAGACTCTTTGTGCCTGAGGTCCCCAGCCCCCCTCCAACCAGCGGCTGAGCTCCCGTCCCCTCCCGTCCCGCGATCTGCTGTATTCCTGGAATTCGAGTCTTCAAACAATAATCAAGAGGTTATATCATTGATGCCGCGACTTGATTGTGCGCGGGACCACGGCGATTAGGAAGATATCGACGGCATTGGCCGACCATTCCTCCTTGCAAAGCTATTCGACCAGGCGCAAAACTGCACTTTCTCATCGCTTTCCCGCATCCCCGCGCGCTTCCGAGCGGCTGCCTCTGATCATCGCGCCCTCAGCATCTGAATCGTCGCCGTCATTTTCTCTACCACTATAGCCTCCACGCCTCTCTTGCCGCGACGAACAACCCTTCGGGCCCGAATAATGCGCCTGCGATAACATCGCCGAACTGTTTGCGCTGCCGTGTCTCGCATATCGCATATCCTACATCGCGGCCCTCAACCCCGCGGACGCATATGTTTACGGACCTTCACGAGCTGCTCACTCATCCGACACAGCAACGATAAGCCATCAGCCAACCCTGTACGAAGCGAAGGTCACTCGTACGCTGCATAGACCCAATTGCGGCCACATTTTTTCGGCGCCACATAGTTCAACAGTCTGCAAAGTCGCGCAAAGGCGCAAGGCTACGAAGAAGCCGCGCGAGCTCATCGCCAACGCCGGGAATCGTCTTGCATCGCATTGCAGCACCCGCGCAAATCCAACACTACCTCCAACCTAATCCTAATCCAAAATGCCACCGCCGATTCTGCTGATACGACGCCCCGCGCAATTCCCGCGAGAACCGCTACCCGCCGCCATCGACGCCATCACCCCCTTCAAGTCACTAGCCTCCCCGCCAACGCTCGTCGTCCCGCGCCAGGCTGCAACCACAACACCGACTATCCCCGCTCTGTACGGCTCGGCGGATTCCAGTCCAACACCGGGCGCCGTAGCTGGTATTACACTTGGCGCCGTTGGTGGATTTCTTCTTGTTTTGTACCTTATTTATGTATGCATCAACATTGGAAATCCGCCCGAAAACGCAGAGTCCTCCGTCACTGGCTCCGTCGTCATAGAAAGAAAGCGAGCACATCGTCACTCACATCACCACCACCGACGATCGCATGGGGAAGCTACAGTTGAGGTTCGCAGGACGTCGAGAGTGGTTCCCTCAGCGGTCATTGTGGAGGAGGAGGTTAGGGGTGGAAGAGGGGGTGGTGGGAGCATAATTATTGAGGAGGCGAGGAGAGGGCCGAGGGGACCGAGGGTGGTACATGAGAGTGATGATGATGACGAGATTGTGGTGATGGAGGAGCACAGCCCGCCGAGGAGAAGGAGGTCGAGGGTTAGGAGTGTGGAGAGGAGGAGCGCGGTTTACGAGAGGAGGGATGTAAGTAGTTCTAGGGCGTCGTGAAGGGATACCTTGTTAGTGTTGGATTCAATGGCCTGAACAGGCGGTTTGGATTTGGTGGGAGGGTTAGCAGGATATGCTGATAGAATTAAGGGAGAGGCGGGATTGTGTAAGAGTGCAGCAGTGTGCTGGGTTTTGGTATACATGAGTAGGTTATGCACCTCAGTAGATAGCGTGTTGGATTTAGCACATGGTCACGCGTCGCTGCAGGAATTGGGTGTCCTATCCTGCAGAGCGATGGCGATGGCGATGCAATTATCAGATCATGGAAGGTTTGGGTATGACCTAGCAGTAAATCACAGCCGTGTCACTGAAGAGTGTCTCGTTTGCCATGTTGCGAACACGGCGATGATCACGTTCAACACAAAAAGGGAGAGACCCCTGACGAAGGAGCAAAAACAAGATCACCACGATCCACCCAGGGGTCGAACCTGGAACCTCCTGATTCGTAGTCAGACGCTCTGCCATTGAGCCAGCGGACCTAGATGCCAAGAATGGTAGAAAATGCACTCATGGTGGTGTGGCGGGAGGATGTGAAAGTCGAATCGTCAAATTTGAGCGCAAGGAAATGGAGCTCACAGAAGGTTGCGAGCTACCTAGCCCCGCTCGTGAAACTCACTAGTTGTCGGGCAGGTGCAACCAGCTGCAACCCAACCCTCGTCACGCCTTTCTGAGCGGCAAATTAGGATAGGATATCAACCAAGCGGGTTTAGCTCAGTTGGGAGAGCGTCAGACTGAAGTTCCACTTCATCCACACCAAATCTGAAGGTCATGTGTTCGATCCACATAAACCGCAAGCTTCATTTTTTGCATCGCTTTCCCACCGCCATTGACCTCGTACGATCAGGGGCTGCGCGACCTGTCCTTTAAAGTTATGGAATGGTGTTTCGTTTTTGTCTTTTCTTCTTCATGCCCCGCTGTCGATGGCATCTTTCATTTTCAGCGTCAGACTGAATTCCACATAAGTGGGGCGGTGGGGTGCTGGCTTTCCTCTTTCAGCCCTAACCCTTCACACGTGCGGGACCTTTGAAACGGAGCCGGTGGCCACCGCTTTTATCGGACACCCGTTACTTGAGAACCGGGCTTCTCGGCACCCCCCTCCGGGCTTTTCGGTGCCCTCCCCCCAGCCGCCGTTTCTGACCAACTCAATCCACACCATGGCCAGTTTTCCCCCAACGCTCTCCCCCCAATGTGGTCTCTTTTACGTGAGGGAACCAGGCTTCTCGGTGCCCCCCTCTGGGCTCGTGTCCCCCCCCCCCCCGAGTCGCCTTCGACATGGCCAGATTCCTTCCTCTTCACCCCTCCTGGGTCTCAGCCTTTTGTCTCTCCAACCCTCAATTTTAAACTTGCCCTCTTCGCCAGTCACTTGAAGTCAACACCAGTCTTAGCGTCATTCGCGCTTGCAGCCACCTCCTCACGTCAACGCAATGGCCGGCCTTCTTCCTCAATGTGCCTGGCTTGACCAAATGTCCGCTCAGCCTGCTGGGCAAGAGCAGGATTTCCGGCTGCTTTTCGAGGACGTCCAGAGCCGGCCAGATAAACAGGACGGCCCTCTTGTCGACAAGCCCACAAACTTTACAAGGGACCGGGTCTGGGAGCTCTGGAAAGGGTAAGCAAGCCTTTCGTAAGTGAATTTTAGTCGCTAAGCCGGCTGCACCAGCTTCACTCGTTTGTCTAAGAGAAACTCGTCTCTCGTCTGGGAACAGTTTCTTATGGGCAGTGATGCGGGGCTCCACGCGATCAAAGTATTCCTTCAAAGTTACGTACGGAACGCAGTACAGATGCGCATTGTTCTCGACGAGCGCGAGTTCGCAAAAGTGCGAACTGTTACAAATGCTTCGGCTGTTGTTGCAATCTGGAGGTCGCTTGTTGCCGCCGCCGACTACCATGTTATGGAGCCCAAGAGGCGAGGTCAGCCTAAGAAAGCCCGTATGTGGAGACTCCTATGGCTCCATAACATAGAGGGCCGCCTTGAAGGGCCTGCATTTAAGGTTGTCCTGGTCAGTGATACCCCTTTTTTCCATAGTGGCATCAATTGTTGACACGGCGGTCAGTGGATCTATGAGGAACTGGCCTTGGAGGAGAACCTGCTCCTCGACTCCCCTTACCAAAAGATCGCAGCAACGCCCTCGGCCGTCGAAACTTTCCTCCGCAATCTGTGGGTATTGGCAGCCTACATCCGTTGTAATCCACTCACGAGGCTACTTGTCGACGTTGTCGTGTTGCTCTCCGCGCTCGGCGGCTTCCGGCCGAAGTCCTTGCGGACGATGACGTTTTCTCAGTTCCAGCTTGCGTTCATCACTCTCCCCGACGGCAGAACTAGGCTGGCTTGCGAGGTCCGTGTAAAGAGGATCAAAGTCAAGCGGCGCCAGAGGTGCAACCGAAAGATATCACCGTGGATTGTCTTCACAGTCCTGGCCAATCCTAACCCGCTTTTTGACCTGCCAGACCGCATCGCAGCTCTGGGGATTAAAATGAACGCCTTTTCCGCCGGTTTCACCTCACCCGAAGATTTATACACTTGGCCTCTCCGAGAAAAGGCCAGATATGTCCCGCTGAAATGGAAAGAATCGATGCTGGACAAGTGCATTATCGACATTTCCGATGTCTCTCTATACAATGTGTGGAATCGCACATGTGTCGTGAGCGGCGCTAGGGATCCTCCCCGTTTTTACTGCCTCCGGGTTGGGGCGGGAGGTAGGACGATAGGTACGGGACTCATCAAACGGCTTCTCAGACCGTGCCCTTTCTAACCACAGTTTCTCCCGCCTAGGTGCCCTTGGGGAGGTCCTGCACTGCTATATATTCTCCAACTCGATCGACGTGTTCAAGCAAAGTTACCAGGCATCTCTTTCGGCAAACCTTATGGAGCTCCTAACAGAGGAGGCGAGGCAGGACCAGCCTTTTCTGGCTGCCCCTGCAGACTTCTTTTTCACCGGCGATGAGGACGCCCCAATCGATTTGACGGCGGACGAGCTTTCCCAATTTGAACTACGCAACGACATTACCACATTTCGATCGGAAATCAACGAAAACACCGGACGTGCGAGGGCTTTGCCGCGAGATCGATGCAAAAATCGGATCAGAAAGCTGACAGAACTTAAGCTGAACGTTAAGAGGGCCCAGTTTTTTGACCAGATCGACGATCACATGGCTCGTGGCTCACCGACAGGCAGTATCCGGTCTAAAGCCCGTGAAGAGAGGACCACTCTTTCCCTAACCACCAGCGGAGCTGCCATATCCCAATTTCTACTGGGGCCGTCATCTGGGAACCGGCACGCCCAAGCTGACGACATGCCGGCAGACTGGGCGGGCAACAAACGATGGATGGAACTCCTGGGAAACCTACGTGTTCCTCAGTCGCGAGTTCCTTCCCCAGCACCACGGGCAGGTCATGAGTTCCAGTGCCTGCTATGCGACAAGCAATTGACAACCCGCACAAGTCTCTCAAGGCATGTCGAGATGCACGCGGGCGAGCTTTTGCGGCCACACAAATGCCGCGCTTGTGCCGCATGTGGGAAGGATATCGAGGTAGCCGCCGGTTCAGTGGCATGGTCTATCCATTGCGCGACATTCCACGGCTCAAAATGTACCCCAAAACCTGCTGACGCGATCCCCTGTTTCTGTGGCTCGAGCATTTCACACGCCGTGTTCGCCAACCATATGAACTCCAAGCACGCAAAGTTGAGCGGGCAGGTGTCATGTAAGGAATGTGAATCACATTTGCCGAGCATGGATGTGGATGAGTGGCTTGAGCATCTTCAGGCCCACCAGCTGGCTGGGTGCCGTTCATTCCAGCGCTGCCCGCTCTGTAAAAGAGTGTGCCAGGACGTTCATCGGCATCTCACTCGCACGCATAAAAAAGAGTTTGAGAAACCTTTTTCGTGCCCTGACTGCGGACGAGAAGTAGTTGGGCTAGATGCATATGAAGCGCATGTGCTCGAGTCTCACACGAAGGAAGGGGCAAGTTTACCAGTGTCATATCCTTCAGCAGTATCAGACGATGAATACCACGAGTACGGTCTTAGCAACAACGATATGGTTGTTGACACGGCCAGCGACGATACCGGCCTGGACAACATTGAGACATCGGAATTGATGGATAAAATACTGGACCGGGTTCATTCACTGGGATGGAGCGACGGCGAGAGCTTAGGTTGGATGCGGGAACTACGAACACGAATCATGCAGACGGGGTCACATCTGGCCGCTCCACCACCCCGCCGCACGGTTCCCTTAACAACAAGTCGTGTGAAGCGCAGGGCCGAGGAGATATTGAGCTTGGAGAAGCTAAAGAGGAGCAAGCTTCTTCATTCAGACGTGGACAAAACCGTTATTGAAGACGGTGGGATGGCATCAGGCGACGACGGCGATGATGGCAGTGACTGGGACAAGGATGATGACAGTAGCTGTTCTTCAGACGCATGGGATGATGAAGAGGGAACTTTGGCACCCGTGTTCGAGGGGCTAATTGAATCGGCGCGCAAGAGGGCGACCTAACCACGTTAGCTTACGTCCAATGCAATTCCTCGCGCATCGCTTGCAAGATCGAAGACTCGACCTCACTTCAATCACCCCCAGGCGCGGACTCCTGGAGGATCTCTTCCTGCTACCCAAGACCACCGACAAAAAAAATGCATGAAAGCTTCGCAGTCATCGCTACTGGACCCCAGCTGGCGTGTTGTGCGGTAGTTGGCAACCGGCATATCCGTCTCGAGCGTCTTGTGTATCTACCGTCTCGATCCTTGGTATGTGTAGAACGGGCGGTCGCGACTCGACGAATCCACCCCGGACGGCGCAGCTAAAACAGACGGTCAGGAGCGCATCGGCATGCCGATTGGGCTGGGCGACTTCGCCCCATCCCTGCGTGCGGACGCCATCGCGAGGCACGACATAAAAGCCCCCCGTGGGTAGTGTATAACTTTTCGGTGGCCCGCCCTTGTCACTGGTGGGGGATATGTCCCCCTCGTGTTGCGATTCAAGAGGGATATCCAGCGTCCACGCAAGGAGCCGCTGCCGGGTTATTTCTGCATCTTCGATGTGATCTTGCAGTATAAAGGAGGCCTTCGGCTGTATGGTTACTCCTAATAGCTCTCGATAAAACTGAGTTCTGGTTCCAGCTAGCCCGTGTAACGGCGAAGTGGCTGCCGCCCACTATCTCCTGTCATGCCCGACCAGCACCTCTACTGGTTGTAGATGTGGAATGGACCATTATCGCAATCAGGATCAAGCTGGCAGGTGTCAGCCACCATTCGGGGACAGTTGCGCACCCACCCCGCGGTAATGCTGCTTGAGGCAGATGACCGGTCTGGCGTATGCGATCAGCGAAGCTCTCTACAGGCGATCGGGGGGGCTTGTCGGTGGTCCGAGCAGGTGCTAGCGGAGGTGGGAGCGACGTGTGGTCGTGTGGTGGGAGCGCGTATTCGGTGGGTTCGAGCTCTTGTCGTGCAAGCGATGCGCGATGGACTTGTTCCCGACGCGGCGATGATGCGCGTGGGGACAGGATAACTCTGCAATTCCAGCCCAAACGTTGGTATTGCTCTTCTTCATGAGGGGAGTGTGTCATCGTTAGCCACATCGACAGATCAAAGGTCACTTTCGTCACTCTGGCATTTGCATTGAGCACCCTGTTCTGTGTCGTTGGTAAGCTTTGAATTTTCCATTCAATCGAGTAGTGAATGCATGTGGGTGGGGATTCATCATATGGCAGGTTGGGGTTCCAGTCGGTGGAGTAGTGGCAGTCCCGGCCTGCCTCTTTGTACCGGGTCGTTATACCACTGGCTCATATCGAAATCC